GACCCTGCGACGCTCTGACAGAGTCCTGCTTGGGTTCCCATGGGGTAGCACGTCGTTAGATAAGGTTGTCACTGTTTGTGGTTTTTAAAAGCCTTTTTTCTCTAAGTGCTTTGTCACTATTGCACTGTGGTGTGAGCGCTGCCTGGTCACGCTGTTCTCCTGTGGGCCCTGGCTCCCGAAGGACGATCCATAGGCACCAAGCCGGTCAGACCTGCTGGGTAAGCACCAGCAATGCCCAGGGTACTGCAGTCCATGGCCTGGTCTGAGTCGGAGAAGCTTGTGATTCCAGCCCAGGAGACGTCAAGGCCCAAGACCTGCCACCTGAGGGATGCACTCAGAGGCCAGGAAACGGACAGAGGGGCAGCCAGCCCTGCAACTGAGACACCCACACCCCACGTGAGGCTGAACTCAACTAGCTACACCGAGGTAGAAACCACCTGGCCTTGTCTCCACTAGGGTTTTACATCCAGAGGGCTCTCATTGTATACAAACACCTCCGATTTTGTAGTGAAGCCATAGCCAGAGTGCAGGGGTTAGGACGTGACAGTATTTGATGGCGACACTACAGATCATGGAATAATGACAGTGCTGGGCATGTTATTCAACTCCTGCTGAGTCAGGTAGGGAGTCCCGAGACAGGCTACACTCGTTTTGTCTCTCGAAGAGGGAGTTACTCACTCAGGCAGGGAGTTGCTGTTTGCCATGGCTGCATGTTATCAAACAGCACTGACTGGATACACACCCAGTCCTCACACAGGTTTCGCTCTGGCTGTGACGGGCTCTCGGCCAATGAATCCCAGAGATGCTGAGTACCTGGGCCTCTCACTGGCTCCAGCCAGAGCACTGGGAGCTCTGCACCTCTCAGGATCAGGTGTCTCCAGAGGGGCTCCTGGAAATGGAGACACCCCAATGAGGGGCCGTGTTTGCAGGGGTCAGTCATAGTGACCCAGAGTCTGCATGGGCCTGAGTGAACACTGGGACGGTTGGGGGCCAATCGTAAACATCTGCCCCTGCCAAACCCTCCCACAATGCTCAGCGTGGCCCTTCCTCGAAGCGTGTAGACACCGGTAATGCACGACTCCCGTCCTCCCCAGAACACCGATGCCTGCCTAGCCCCCCTACCTCTCTTAGCACAGTGTGGAAAACAGACCACTTCCCTCTTTGGGATTTTATGTATTTGTGGCCAGGGTCCTACCTCCTGGACTCACATCTTGGAGGTTGGGACCCCCCCCGAGGTTCACAAACAGGTTTCTGGGAGTCACAACCACCCTGTCTTGCGTTATGGCTCAGTATTGCCAACCGCAAGGATCTCAAATCCTGGGGCAGGCCCCAACGATCATGAGGGTTTTTAAAGATCTTATTGTGCTTTTTGTCTGTCTTTTGATTTAACCCGTCTCTCCACACACGTGGGTGGCCCTCAGTGCTGCCAGAACTCCCACATGTATGCAGGGCTTCTTCCCACAGCCACCTGCCCCTGCCTAGCAACTAATTCTGCTCCCCAACCTCCCAATCAACCCTGTTCCCCCAGCTCCCCCTTAATTCAGTCCCAGCCCCGATCTGCCCAGCTCCCACCTAGTCCCCATCACTCCAGCCTCACCTCTGCTCCTCCTGGGCCTCTTCAGCCCCCTTCCCTCCAGCTAATGCTGGAGAGGGGGTGGAGAGGCGCTGTCCCATCCCCATTGCTCACAGGAGGGGGAGGGAGTGGAGCCCTCTGGGCTGCCGGGCTCTGTGGTCCCTCCTCCCCCATCCCCTCCTGTGAGAACGGCTTTGGGTTGCTGAGGGGCTGGGGAGGGAGAGCTCTGATTGGCTGCTCTGCCCCACGAGGCGGGCAGTTAAGGCAGGCAGCCAGTCAGAGGGCTCAAATTTGCTGACAGGCTTGAGCTTCTGGCCCCCCATAAAAATCTCATCATTCGGCAACACTGGACGCGCCAGACCCCACGATATTCTGGTGCTGTCACGGGGGATCCTGAGGTGGAAAAGGTTGAGAACTCATTGCTCTGGCTGGTCCCTGGGGAACTAAGGGTTAACCTCCCCCAGCACAGGAGCTGGGCTGGCACTGGGACTGAGCTATTTTAAGCTTTTCTCCTGCTGCCCATCACCATAGCGCCTGGGCACCTTGCATGTATAGCAAGAGCAATAGTCGAGTCCCTCATGGAGGCCCCAGCACCGCTGGGAGGGGCCTTTGGAAGGCTGGGTTCATGTCCTAGGACTGAGCTGAGCTGCTCCATTCACTGCCCAGTGACGTTGCTGTCTCCTGACAAACACTGAGCTCTGGAGCAGGCACCTGGCTGACGGTCACAGTGGGGTCTCTCTGCTGGCTCATCCTGTCAGCCCACCCCACAAAGCACTCTGCAGCGGTAACAAGCCAGTGCCAGCAGCCTGAGGGGGGCCCAATGCCTCAAAAATGAAGTCTCAGATACCAAAGGGACCCCAAGTAACAACAGCATTTATTAAAGAAGAGAGCTTGGAATAAATCCAGACAACCGGAGCCCTTGCTGTTCGATACAAACCCACGGGGTGGGGACCCAATACTGTACATTATTGCAAATAAGTTAATATAAAGAAATGGTGCCACAGATGCTGTATCTAAACTCAGTCAGCTACCGTAATTAATGGGTTAATTTCTCAGCCTAACACAGAAAGTTGCCTGGACAGTTATAAAAGCCACAGGGGAGTGAGCAATAGGGGGCTGCTGCAGGGACCAGGGAGACAGCAGGACAAGGGGGTTCATGGATGATCTGGAGGGTGAAGCACTCGGAGACATGGGGGTCAGGTCCTGGCTGGCCACAGGCTCCCTGTGCAAATCACTGGGCTAGACCCACAAAGGGGATTCACACTCAGCAATGTCCAGTGACGTGCCGGGCAGAATCCCCAGCCCTGGGTTAAGTGCCCAGGCTCCCTGGGCATTGGTGCCTGGGGAGCCCCCTATGGTGAGCGCCCCAGGGGTGCTCTGTGACCCTTCGCTCCCAGTCGTTCGAGCGAGTGTGACTCTATAGCCAGGGGCCACTCCTGCTCCACACCAGGCAGAGCGGGGCGCTGAAGCTGGCTCTCCCACAGCTGGGGGGAGGCTCTACGCACTGGGGCACCCAGACCCCACTGCCTGAGCTGTTTTGGGCCAGACCCAATCCATTAGCCGTCTCGGAGCCAGGCAGAGGCATGGGGCTTAGGCACCGAGCAGCTCAGCCACTCAGGACTTAGGTGGCCTGGCATATGGCCACCAGCAGAGATTTAGGCAGCTCCTGGGGAGGTGGGGGGATTTGAGGATCTAATTTTTGGACTTGGATGCCTAAACTAGCAGTTAGGCACCTAGATCTGCAAATGGATCTTGTGCTTAGTCTCTCTGGCTTCAATTCCCGCCCTGTACAATGGTGCTGGTACCTGCCAGGGGCACTGCAAAGCGCCCAGATACTGCAGTGGGAAGGGCCTGTAAGTACCTGGGCAGCCAATGTTCAGGGCGCCCCAGGTGGCTGAAGCAGGAGGAAGTCTCTGGGGCATGTTTGTACAGGAAGCATTTGGCGCAACCTGGTAAATGACGTGTGGGAAAAGCCAGGTGCCTGGACACAGATGCCTCAAAGGAAGCAAATGTCAGTTCTGTGTTTGACTGCAGAAGAAAACCAGCCCTCTCATCCCCAGCACTGTGCGCAAGCAAAGGCAGCAAATAGTTGGGTCACTCAAGGACTTGGCAACTCCAGTACAACTTCAGAGTTATGAGCTGAGCACACACCTCGTTTGGAACCGGAAGTACGAATCAGGCAGCAGCAGAGACACAAGGGAAAAAGGCCAAAACAGCACAATCCTGTGTTAAATGTAAACTACTAAAAAAATCAAGGGAACGTTTAAAAAAACTGACAAGGTACAAAAACTGTTTCTGTGCTTGTTTCATTTAAATTACGATGGTTAAAAGCAGCATTTTTCTTCTGCACAATAAAGCTTCAAAGCTGTATTAAGTCAAGGTTCAGTTGTAAACTTTTGAAAGAACGACCATAATGTTTTGTTCAGAGTTACGACCAACCTCCATTCCCAAGGTGTTTGTAAATCTGAGGTTCTACTGTATCGTGATTCCTTGGCCAATGCTCTGTTCACCTCTCCCGGCTGGGCTTGGGGATCGATTGCTGTGGTGGGCATTGGAGGCAGGGTTTGAACCCACATGTCTACCACTGACTCCTTGTAGGACTTTGCCCAGTCACTTATTCTCACCAATGCCCGGTGTGTACAGTGGGGTGGTATCCCCCAGGCTTCAAGCCACAAGGTCTTAGAAGGCGGGAGCCAGGTAAGTACAACTGTAAACTGCGCCTCCTGCTAGCACAGCTGGGCAGATGGCCTCCTTTGACTTCTCTCTTCAATACAACTGAAGAGAAGGATCTAGAGCCTAGAAAGGGGCAAGGCACGTACCTGTGGGAGAGGTGCAGTGGTTTATGGGTCTGCCGCAAGACTAGCAGCCAATCAAATCCTCCCATTCCCCAATTGCCCAAACACTCTGATCTTGACTGCCCTTGCTGCATTCTCCAGGAGGTGGTGGGGTGCTCGGCAAACCAGCAGCTTCTATGCTGAATCAACAAGAGGACAATTCCCTGGCACTGGACTGAACCATGACACATAACAATGATCCTGCAGGTGTCTCTCTATTAGCAAAGTACCATCACCCCAGCAGCTGCTGCTCTTCTTATCAGCTGCATGACACCTGTGAAGCAAGGACGTCTGTCCCTTGGCGCATATCCAGCAGCCGAACCAGTCCTGCTCCAAGCCGGCCCCCCTCCTCTGCTGCAGCCCACACAAACCCACAGGCAGACAGACAGGGGAGTTCTTGGGGGAGGAGGCACCTCACAGTCCAAAGAGAAACGCCTGAGAAGGTGACAACGCCAGAACGAATCCAGTCCTTCCAAATGGCAGTGTCCAAATAACGTGGTCAGGACTGGTGCACTCGGGGTCCTGCCCCCTTGCTAGTCCCCTCCAGGGCAACCAGCTGGCTTCCTGAGTAAGCCCCTGCGCCCAGGCTCACTGCTGCCTCTTCTCACCAGCTGGGCACGGGGCTCTCTTGGCGAGGGCTTGGCAGCAGGCCCAGACTCTAGACCTGAGTGACGACCTCCCCGTTCTCTGGCACGTAGACCTGCACAGGAGCTCCCTCGGGGGACCGCTTCAGGACGTGGATCTGACACACCTGCATGGGGGTGAAGGAAAGAGCCTGTCAGAGCAGCCATCCCAGCCAGCAAAGCAAGAGCGTGACAACAACCAGCCCGTCCCGGCCGCTCACACCCCCGGGGGTTGGCACTATTCCCCACCGCACATAGGGAGCACAGGCCCGTGGGAGGAAGGGACTGGCAAAAAGTCACGCATGGAGCCTGTGCAAAGCCAGGCACTCAGCCCCCGTCTCCTGGGGGTGCCCAGGCCCCTGCCCCCAGCACAGAGCACCCTGCTTTGACATGGTCTTACTGCAGCTGCAGACCTGGCCTTTGGTGCATGGATGGGGAGGGGCCAGGTGTGCGTGGAGTTACCCCAGGGATTCCTTGGCCCTCTTGCTAGGCTCACGGGTGACGTGACCCCTCATGCTGCCCACCCTGGGATGTGGTGTGCAGGGCCGTGCTCCCCCAGAAGGCGCTCCCAGGGGCGAGGACGGCTGCCAGGCTGCGTGTCACTGCAGAGAGCAGCTCTCTGGTTCCTGGCGGGGGCGGTGATGGGAGGAATCCAGGCACAAGCCCCAGCCTGCCTGGCGTGGGCCGCTGCCTCTGCTAGAGGCGGAGAGCTGCCCGGGCAGGAGAACGGACGTGGCTCAGGGGAGGGCCTGTCGGACAAGTGTTGCCAGTACCACAGCCCAATGGGATAAACCTGGGCTCACTACCTGGGCTCTCCAGCCCCTTCCTGCACTGAGTGTGCTCGCCAAGGGCCTGGGCTTCCCAGAATGCACTGCCAGTGGCAGTCTGCCCTGCTCTGCCCGGGGAACCCCTCTGCAAGGCCTCTCTGAAGCTGCCAGCAGGAGTAACTTGGGGCAGGCTGCGAGTGGCTCTTGGGAGCTGGATGCGACCAGCAGCACATTCAACCGACCACGGGAAAGCAGCAACTGGGCAAGATTTGAATTCGGAGGCTTTCCAGCGCATCACCAGCCCCAGGGCCAGCCCGCACGGACCTGGGAGAAACGTGCCAGGGAAGAGCTGGTCCCCACTAGCTGCTGGGGGTCGTGTGGCACAGGAGGGGGCGAGTTCAAACATTAATAAACTCCATTCCCCCACCTGAATAGGCACGCTAAGACTATTCAAATACTATTACATTAACCTCAGAGAGCGGGGGCAGGGCTGCAGCTGGTGTCAATCGGCGGTAACTCCAGTGGCGTCAGCAGGGCCAGCTCCCCAGATGGTGTCAATCGGCATTGTCCCACTGGCATCGGTGATGCTGATTTACACCAGTGAGGGCCTGGCCCGCAGGCTACGGTGCTGCCATTCCACATGCCACGTGTTACCCGCACTGGGCTGAGCGTGGCCGTTCTGTGAGGAGTGTTTTACTCCCTGGCTGATCCCTTTGCAGAAGCCCAGCGGGAGGGAGCTGCTGATGGACAGTGCTGGGCCCCTGGCGCAGGCCTGCCCAGAGCAGCAGTGACCAAATGCTGTCACAAGCTGAGAGCTGCTAGGGACCCAAATGCTGGATTTTTGGGGTGTCCAAGCTGGCAGGAGCTGCCCTCGCTGAGAGGGGATCGCTGGGGACTCTCACAGAACAGGCCCTCCCAACAAAACCCTCACTCCTGACCCGCAGCCCCTGCAATCCCAGCCCTGGGCTCCCCGCACACACAGCTCTGCTGGTGCCCCTCACTCCCAACCCACAGCCCCTGCAAACCCAGCCCTGGGCTCCCCTCACACCCTGCTCTGCCGATGGGGTTTGTGTGAGGTGGGGAATGATCCATCCTAGGACAGTGTATGACCCAGGACACGACTGAACCTAGGCCTGTGAAGGAGCAAGGCTGGTACATTCCTTTACCAGTTCTCCCTTACTTACTGGGCACTGAGAGGTGATGCTCGGTAAGGGGCCCCCCAGCTTCTCCGAGTGCCCCAGGCCATAGAGAGTCGAATGCAGAGAGCTGTGCAGTGGTTCCCTTCCCCTAGCACTTTCCCGGGACAGCAGCACCTCCTCGCTCCCCACCCCGTGTCGTGTGCCGGCCCTACCTGAGCCTGCTGCCCGGCGGAGCGCGAGGCGTACAGCTCCCTGCCCGGCGCGTTCCGCACGCGGAAGGCCCCCTGCCTGTCCAGCGAGTGGGGCCGCAAGTTCCGCAGCTTGGTGCGCTCATGCCACGACTTCAGCTCCTCCGACACGGCTGACTTGGCGAGGGCCCTGCCGCTGCCCGGGGCGTAGTCCTTGAGGGACGGGGTGCGCATGAGCCGGCTGGGGGCCGGGCCCAGCCAGTGGCAGCGCAGCTGCACCACGTCCTGCTCGTAGGGGAACGGAGCTGGGCTGCCAGGCCGCAGGGAGGGGTAGCCCTGGCAGAGCTCCCGCCCAGCCACATACTCCACAGTCGGGAAGTAACTGGGAGGCAGCAGCCGCTTCTGGGGGGTCTGGTAATAGTACGCTGCCTCGGCTGCGGAGCGCGGGCCCCTCAACACCGGTGAGGGCTGCTCTGTGGACGGCGGGGGCACCGGCCTCAGGAAGGAGATGTCAGGGCTGCTGCTGCCAGGCGACGGGGCGTATGTGATGCTGGAGACGTCCGAGTTGCTGTCCTCGGAACTGGAGTGGTAGATGGAGTGGGAGGCCAGGCCAGGTTTGGATGGAGGGAAGCAGTAGTTGGGGACGGTGACCGTGTAGTAGGTGGGGCGTCGTCTTGGCAGCACGCTCCTCCCCCGAAGCTCCGCTCGGTCCCGGGACACATCCACCCTGGGGGCAGAAGGAAGCTATTTAGGGGTATTCTAGCACCAGGGGCGAGTGAAGGAATCTCCTGGCCCGGACCCAAACTTCAGGCTGAGAGGAGCGCTCTCAGAAATCCAAAGCACAAGTACAAGCAGGGAATGTACAGACACACCAGCACTCCCCACAGACCTCAGTGGAGAATACACCTGAAATCCTTCCAGACGCCCTTAACTCTGCCCACCCCCTGAGCTCCGCCCACCCCCTTAGCTCTGCCTACCTTCTTAACCCTGCCCACCACCTCAATCCTGCCCATCCCTTAGCCCCACCCACCCTCCTAACCCTGCCCACCTCTTAGCTCCACCCACCACCTTAGCTGACCCCCACTTCCACCTCCATATCCCCACTAACCAACACTAAACGAGGACATTAATAACATCTAAGCAAATCAAATCCCCCCCCCCCAGCAGAATTTTGACCTTGAGAAGGGAGCAGAGCCAGAGGCTCCATGGAGTCCACTAGAGACTTGGCTCTTGCTGGTGATTTTATGTGGCAGGCACCACAGTGATGAGTGTCAGGGTCGGTGCTAAGGTAGCTAGCTAGGAGTTGGTTCTGCTAGAGCAAGGGCAGCTCAGGGTGGACGCGCTAATTGGGTTTCACATCCCTGCTTTGCACTCGGGGGAAGACAAATCAGTAGCACCAAAATCAGAAGCTCCCCATGAGCAGAAACTCTGGGGCTAGGCCCAGGGTCCCTCCCTTGCTGCTCCCATCTCCTCTCATTTGTCTCCCTTCTGGGGGTCCCATCTCACACTCACATTCTGTATTTATTCCTCACTCCTTATCATTTCCTACCAGCACTGCCTGGAGGCCTCAACCACTATCATTTCTGCTGCACAGAGACAGCCCTGCCCCAAAGAGCTCACAGGCCAAACAGAGAATGGGTGGGAGGGGAAACTGAGGCATGGGGCAGGGCAGTGACAGAGGTAGGAACAGAAGCCAGTTCTCCCTGTGCAGTGTCATAGCTCATAGACTCATAGACTCATAGACTTTCAGGTCAGAAGGGACCAATATGGTCATCTAGTCTGACCTCCCGCATGATGCAGGCCACAAAAGCTGACCCCCCCACTTTCCCTTAACTCTGCTGTTGAAGTCTCCAGATCGTGATCTATAGACGTCAAGTTGCAGAGAATCTTCCAGCTTGCGACCCCTGCCCTATGCTGCGGAGGAAGGCAAAAAAGCCTCCAGGGCCTCTGCCAATCTACCCTGGAGGAAAATTCCTTCCCGACCCCAAATATGGCGATCAGTAGAACCCCAAGCATACAGGCAAGATTCTCTAGCCAGACCCTCATTTTACCAGCGATGGCCGTTATTGCCTAAATAATAGCTGCTAGGCCACACAACGAGAGAGCCCGTTGCTGGGCAGTACCTCATGGACTGGGATTGCCCTCTCCTCGCCTGCATCTCTGGGGTCGGCGGCCCACTGGAGCCAGCCTGCCTCCACAAGGCCAAGGTCTGGATGGGGACAAAGTGGTAGCGGGGCGTCTCAGCTGTCCTCTGAGCGGCTGGGCTGCGGGCAGGCGCTGGCACGGGTGTCCCGGCTGGGCTGCTGAGGAGAAGCACAGTGAACAGAGACCAGTGCAGGAGAGCTGGAATCCCTCCCCCGCACTGCAACATCTGCATGGCTCCTTCCATGGGAGCAGAGTGGCCCAGGGCCCTGGGGAGACGGGGAATGCGCCCAAACCTCTGCATCGGCGCCCTGCCCGTACAGCGACTCTGCCCCGCTGCAGGGATCCACAGAGCCCCGGGCATGCACCCGCCTGCATGCATTGGCGTGTCACTTCCCCAAGAGAAGCTAGTGCTGTTAGACGCAGGGTCCCGGTTCGCCCCCTGCTGCCGACAACCCACCCAGGGCATCACGTTTCTCAGGGGAGGGAGAGCGGGGCAGAAGGGAGAGGAAAAGCGGATGGGAAAGATGATCTCCCGCCCAGCGCCCTGGGGAGAATCGAGCAATGGAAGCTGGGGAGGGTGTGACCTCCAGGGGAGGGGGAGACACAAGGCCACATGTTAGACTGTCCAGAGCCCCGGCAATGGCGCAGAACCCAGCCGCTTAAGCCAGGACGTGAAGAGCATCAGGTCTGGCTGACATCTGGCCAGGACACTGGGTTCACTCATCGGGCAGGGGCCCTGGATTTGCAGTGGCTGCAGGTCTCCGCGCTCTGGCTTCCAGTCTCAGCGGTAGCACCCCACTGCGAGGTTGGGTCTATGCTGGCTTAGAGGGAAGAGGCCACCTACAGCCCACCAACACTTTCTCCCTGAGGTTCTCCTGCCTTACAAGCCAACTTGTTTCTATGCCTCCTGTGGTCACTGCATCTCTCCAAGGCGATTCCCCTAGCCCCCTGATCAGCAGGGCTCCCCAGACCGGAGATGGGGAGAGAGGTGCCGCCCATGCTCTGTACCTTGGCAGACTGCAGGACTCAGCCGAGTGCTTCCTGGGCTTCTCGTAGGGCCTGTCGAGGCTGGTCTCCTTCCAGGGGCTGTTCTGGATGGGCGAGCGCTCCAGCTCCAGGACTTCGCTCTGCGTGGGTGGCAGCCCCTCACGCTGCTGGGGAGGGGCACAGCGGGTGGGCAGGTCCGGGGAGCTGTGCGGCGTGCCGGGCTGGACTGGCACCGTGAGCTGCTGGGCAGCACAATGATTCGGAGCCTGGATTTCTTCTGAAAGAGAACGAGGGGGGTGAAAGCGGTGCAGGAATTGCGGTGTCTGCCCGTCACCTTCCCTCCGGCTCTGCGCTCAGATCCCCCCACAGCCCAGAGCCCATCCCCACAGCAGCCCTGCCTGGCTCACCCCACATCAAATGCTTCTGTCTCCAGGGGAACAGAGCAGATAGGCTCATACCTCTTTCCCAACGTCAGACACTGCCCTGCCTGCAGGAAGGAGAAATCCAAACCCTGCTCATGTCTTACCCTCCTCCAGCAGGATGGCATCCGAGAGGGAGCTGTCATCCGAGGCACTCAGCTCTAGGGAACAATGGGGAAAGAGGCAGAGGTGAGGAAGGGCAGAGACGCTCACTGGGCTCGGCCAGGGGCCGTAACACAGATCCCAGTCAGCAGGGATTGTTGGGATTCCAGCAGCACATAGACGCTGCACAAACCCCAAATACAGCCTACAGAAGCGGGGCTTGGGTCTCCTGCTGCTTTGCCTGGGCCCCAGGGGGTAGTTAACTATACATAGCAACAATAAACCTGTCTGTAGTCCCAAGAGCTCCAACCTCTCAGGGGCCCTCACCCACCACTGCAATGCAGCTGCCTCTGTGGTGGAACCGGTGAGGTTTGCACCATCAAAGGAACGTGGGACAATCCCAGGCGGGATCGAGCTGGCGCAGGCACGGAGCACTCTGGTGCCTGAAGGGTTAACTGGCACCATGCAGGACACATGTCCCTACACGTTTCCCTCCCCCTCCTCTCTGCTGAGCTGGGCTTAGCAGCTGCTCCTGCAGGTTTCAACCCCCCTCCCCCATCCCCAGACACGGATCCCCAACCCTTTCAAGAGTTTGGAAATTTTCCCATTTTGAATTGGGACAAAAAGTCAAACTCTTGAAAATATTAGTTAACCAAAAACTGCAAAAGTTTTGGTTGGAGGGACTCAAAACATTTTGTTTTCATTTTAGTCATTTTGAAACATTTCATTTCAGTTTCCACTTGTTTCTCTTTTTCAAATCTTCGTTTTGTCTAATGAGCTTAAATTTTGAAACCAAAAGTCTTTTGGAATTGGAAAACTGGAATTTTTCATTTTGAAAATAGCACAACAAACCATTTCAACAATTTTGAAACATTTCCCCCCCCCCCGTTTTTCTGAGTCAGGAGATTTGCTGACTCCAAATCGACTCCATGAATGGCTTCACTTGGCACAACTCAGCATTTCTGGATGAACAAACCCTTCCTGCCCTGCCCGCCACAGCCCGGGGCGGAGGGTGCAGCGGGAGCTCTGGGAGGGGACAGACAGGTCGCGCAGGAGAGTGAGAAACGGAGCCAAGGAAGGAAAGTGAAGCCAGAGTGGGGTGTGCAGTTCAGGGTGCTGCCCCCAGGGATGACCACTCAGGCAACTTGGGCCTGATTCTTCTCCCATTCACACTGGTGTCACGCAGGAGTAACTGCATCTGGTCTGATTCCCCTCTCTCAGGCACCGCTGGAGGAAATCAAAGCCCTGTGCTTTTAGCTGGAAGAGGAGACTACCTCTGGAACAGGCTGCTGCAGGAGCCCCGGGAAAGCTGCAGAACCACCAGCTGTTCTTTGGGGAGCTGAGATAAATGTAGCTTCGTCTCCTGCTCAAGGAACAAGGAAGCCGGGGAGAGCTCGCCCCCATGCATGTACCTCCAAGGGGCAGCTGAGCTGTGGGGCCCTGTCCTCTCCTTCCTCAGCAACAGCCATTCCTGAACAACTGCACAGCTGGGAGACCGGCCCCGACGGACCAGTGAGACCCTCCCCAAGCAAATGGCGCTCTTGGGGGCTACAAGAGATCCTGCCAGCGTGTGAAGCTGTAGCAATCACCCACAGGACAGCCATTCTGGGTGATCAGGGCAGTGCTGGCATTCCCTGAGTCATGGATGTGACCACCTACCCCCTGGCCAACACGTCCTGCGGCACAGTTAACATGCCAACCCTCGGGGCAGGACAAACCCTCACGCGGGCTGAGCCACGCAGTGCCAGCCCCAGTCACGCCAAGGCTACAAGCAGGGCCCTTTGCTGCTTGGAGCCAGGCAAGCCAGAGGCAGCTGATTTCTGGGAGAGCAGTGGGGGCTGTGCCAGGGGCTCCCGCCGGATTGTGCCCGCTCTCTCTCGCACTAGGCAGGCTGTGATGGAGCAGTAGGCCGAGATCTGGCCTGCACACGCAGCTCACCCCCGAGGGCTGTGATGCTGGCCCTGGGCTCCTGCTTGGCTGTCAAGCGACACTCATTGAGGGCATTCTCCAGCTCCTTCAGCTTCTTCTCCTCCTTCAGCACCATGTTCTTCCGCCGCTTCTTGATGTGCTTGCTGATGTTCTCTTCCCGGTAGAGGCGATGTGTGGCCGCGGCGATCTGCAGCTGCAGGGCCAGGTCTCTCTCCAGCGTGCTCAGCGGGTCCTAGGTGGGAAGAGAACACAAGCCATGGAACGGAGCAAGGGAGCTGCCCTCCGCCACAGGGCACTTGGGGCTAGGAGGAACCACGTCCAGCTAGGCCTTCGCTCAGGGGAAACCTCAGCCTTCGGGAGAAGAGCAGGGCCTGGCTACCTGGACCCAGCAGAGGCAGCCTGGGACCACGGCTCCTTGTGAGGCGCTAATCACAGAGAGTTTGTGCAGACGGGGCTGAGGTACCAACCTGGCCCCACTGCTGCAGTAACTGAGCGCTCCCAGTCTCATGCACTGACATCCCCCCATGCACACTACGGCAGAAGGGCTCAGGGCCCAGCTTCCCAGGCACTTCAAGGAGCTATGAGGATCCAGGCCAGAGAGACTAAGGGAGTCCAGGGCAGAGCAGGGATTTGAACCCAGGTCTCCTATGTCGGTGCCCTGACCATTGGGCCAGGCTTCCTCTCAAAGGGGCCCTTCTGCCTTAACACCTTGGGATGGTCTCTGAGCTGTCTCCAGCCTTGTCTGTTCCGTTGTGAACCACATCTGGGGCTGGGGGCATCGCTGGACAGATCAGAATCCACCCTGGCCCCAGGGAAGTCCAGATCCCGGGTGCACCCCTGGCTAGTGCCCCCCAAGGCAGCCATACGGAGTCTGAGCTGGTTCCCCGCCCTGCGCTCTCCCCCCATGGGCCCACAGGGCTGGGAGCGCTGCACATGCGGCACGCTCAGCCCCAGCTAGCAGGGAGTCCCAGGAATGATTCAGGCTCTGGAGAGAGCCCCACCTGCCCCCCGGCGGAGGGACGGCTGCACGCTGGGCTCCTGGCTCCGGTCGTGTCTCCTGAGGCTCTGAGGCAGATGCCGAACAGGCTGGTTCCCAAGATTGGAGTCAAGTGAGAGGAAACGTGCTCCCACCTCTCCCTCCCTGGAGAGGGAGCACCTTCCCACCCCCCCAGCACCGCCCTAGGCACTGGGTCATTATCTCGGGGTGTGGGCTGGCAGAGGAGGCCGAGGCAGAGGTACCACGAGGTGGAGAGTTTGGAATGTTAACAAACTCTTGCACAAATCAAGCATCAATGGACTCCGCCCTTTGATGGAGCCACGCCCTTTCCCCTCCCCCTCCCTGCTGGCCTGAGCATCAAAGCCTCAGCACCTTTGGGCTTCCTCACAAGAACTGGGACATCTCAGTGCCGGGCTCTCCTCCCTTGAAGACAGCCAGCGACAGACAGAGCCAGCTGAGACAGGCATCCGGGTCATTTTCAGTACCGATGGGATGGGGCAGCCTGGAGACTCTGTTGATCTACCGGGCGGGTCCGGCATGGGCATCCGTCACCTCACCACTGCCTCCCCCTGACCCAGAACGGCCTCCTCACTGTTTGGCCTCCACACTGAGAAAGCCAGCAAGGGGCCAGGGGCGGTTCCTGTGCTGTGGACCAACCGAGCAGAGCCCACCAGACAGGGCCTGTGGGGTGCTGGGGACTGTGAAACTGTCCTGAGACCCTCCAAACTCATTTCACACGAGCCACCATGCAGTGGTGGCTGTGACCCATCTGTGCCCTGCCTAACGCCAGGGAGAGATCCCCAGGCACCAGCAGGCTCCTTACCACTCCTTGCGAGATGATTGTCTTCTCGTCCAGTTTGAATGCGGTGCCGATCCTCCGCCGCACCTTGGGGGGCCTGTCCCCCTGCTTCAGGGGGTACTCCTGTGGCAGCATGCCCGTGAGCTCCTGGGGGAGGGCAGGGACAGACATCAGCCTCCAGGGCGGCACAGGGTATCACCAGGGGAAGAAGGGATCACACACGGCACGTCTTTTCCACCAGAGATGGGTGAGGCGCCGGGGCGCACTAGGGAGCATGTCCTGCGTAGGAGTGTGCCCCACCCTACACGCACGTGGCACTGGGGGAGTGATGCCCTGGAGGAGCAGGCCCTGGAGGAGTGGGCACTGCAGCCAACACGCATGTGGCCTTGGCACATTGTTACCTTTGCACTGACTGGCACTGCCATGTATTCCCCGTCCTCCTGGGATAGCCTAGACACCGGAGCAGCCATGGGCCCAAGCTAATCCCTCAATGCCAGGGCTAGGGTTTGCCCAAGCCATCTGGCCTGGCCATGGCAGCCTGCGATCAAGGCCCGGGGGTTGCCAGCCCTCCAGGACTGGCCTGAAGTCTCCAGGAATTAATATTAATCTTTAATTAAAGATAATGTCTTGTGATGAAACCTCCAGGAATACGTCCGGCCAAAACTGGCAGCCCTAGATAGAAGCCGAGGCTTTGGGCTAGCTGGGGAGCCCCCTCCACCACACGCAGGGATTCCCGACTTCCAGGAAAGCCACCAGGTTCCTCTCCGAACGAGAGGTGGCTGAACAATCTCCATCCAGCCAACCCGCCGCCAGGCCCAGCCCACGAGATCCCCCCAGTGACCACGCCCATGTCCCCAGCCAGGCCCAGGGCTCCTTACCGCCTCGCGCAGACACAGCTTCCTCAGCTCCGCCAGACAGGCCTCCAGCCGCGCTGCCAGCTCCTGCTGCTGCTTGCGCACCGCCTGGGTCAGGTCCTTCAGTGGAGACACGGGGCTGTCCGGGCCTGCGGGGGATGAGACCAGGAGTCCCAATTCAGCAGCCAGCGGGGAGACGCAGGGCCGGCCCTGAGCACAGACTGGGGCCACTTGGGGCCTTGGATTCTAAGGTGCCTGGAGCTTGGGCACCATATCTTGTGCCATCTCTGCAGCCCATCCTCTTCCCCACCCTACCCCGAGCTGGTTTCTCCCCCTGCTGGCTGGGGCCCCTTCATTCACACCGGTCACCTTGGCTGGGGGCACTGCCCCTTTCCAGTATGAGAGTGGCAGCCTGCATGCCATGCGCAGGACTGGGCACCAGGAAATCCATGGCTCTACTCCGGTCACCAACAGCGACTCCCCCATGGCCTCAGACAAGTCACTGCCCCTCTCTGTGCCTCAGTTTCCCCTTCTGAATAACAGCACAAACCAACCTGCTGCTGGAGCCGTTGTGAAGATTTAACTAAACAAGTGGATTCACTGCACGTTGTTATGCTACTCTCTACAGCTGGCTCAAGTGCATCCCAGAATGCTAGTCACTGTGCCAAAAAAGAGCCCAGAGACGTCCCTGCCCCACAGAGCGCCCTATCTCGGCCCAGTCCGGAGGGATCGAGTGTGCTCAGGTTCTGCTCACTTCACGTCAGCAGCTGGTAGGTGTTGGCCGATTCGGCTGCCGAGCCCACCCAGTGTCACTGATCTGGCTGAGGAATTACTCAGGGTCTGGAATTTCCCATCTAAATGGGTTTTTTCAGTGCAAGATGCACTAACTGCCAAATTGAAATTTTCTGCAGGAAAAATTTTGATTTTGCCAAAACGTGTTGATTTTCTATTGGGAAAATCCAAATGGGAGCTTCGGGTCTGGGCTAGGCCAGCCCAGCAGCGAGGCTCTGGTTTGTCAAACCCAGGTTTCATTCCGAGTCAGTTTTACACTCAACTGTCCACCAGCACTCGTGCCCCCGCCGTCCTCTAGGGACTGGGCTCCTGGCTGGGCTACATCTCCCATGATGCACTGCGGTCACCCTGTAGTTAACCAAGGCAGTGCATCATGGAAGTCATGTGACCATAATCTTTAGATTTTTCTGTCCAATTTGGATAAAAATAATTTAGAAATATCGGAATTTTCCATGGGACAGAAATTCCAATTTCTATTCTGATATTTCCCACAATGCATCTGAGACTGGTTCCCTGCCCCAGCCTGTCAGCCCAGTGCCGCTCCTCATCCTCTGCATACTGGGGCCGGGGCACTGCTGGAGGGGCGGCTCCAGGAACCAGGTGACCCTGAGCGCGGATGTTTAATGACGCAGACCCAGCTGCCCTTTGGCCCATCCCCGGAGCCAGAGTGGGGCTGGTACCTAAAACACACTGTCCTGTAGGGCTATCCTAGAGCAGGCATGGCCCATCTCAGAGTAAGTGGCACTTCAAAGCACAGGCTGGCCTGCAGGCTCCCAGCCCAGCCTGGAATGTTTCTAGCTGGAGAGTGGGATTAGCTCCTTTCACCGCGCAGGCTGCAGCCAGCTCCAGGTCACTGATCAGATAAAGCAGGGAGCCTGAGTGAAAACACTGCTGGTTTAACAGACAGCCAGGGCTGAGCTGGGTCCCGGAAGCAGAATGCACATGGAGGGGCAGGAGAGAGCCATGTCTCCCCTTCGCACCAGGACGTTCCTTTCAGCCCGGAATTTCCTACGGCTCAGGACCCACACTTGGGGCTGGATTTTGCAGAAAGCTCAGCACTCCTGGCCTTTTCCGTTCCATGCTGCAGACTTTCCTGAGCTGCCTGGGGCTAAGAAGCTTCCTCTGACACACCTGGTACCGGCCCCTGCCAGAGCTAAGGTCCTGGACTGAAGGCAGTGTTCTTGTGAGCGAATCCAGCTGTAAATCTTAGCCCCACTCACTGACAGCCCAGGGGATTCCAGGTAAGGTCTCGACCTTCATGGAGCTGGGGACATCCTCACCCCCCCCCCCGCCCGCCCCCCGACCAGCATCTCTAGGTGTGGGGGGCACCTTTAAACTGACTTCGGGAACGACTGGGCATGTAGGGAGCAGGATTTTCAACTGGAAAATCTGAGGGGGTTTGTGACAGTATCAGCTGATTATTTTTGCCAAATAAATGCTGAAAACTGGAAGTTCACAGATACATTGATAATTTCACTCACGCCCAGATCTTCAGCCACCCCTGCTCCTCCAACCCGGGGCTTCTCCCCGCACTGCCTACAGTTCCTGACCCCCAGCCCCCTGCTAGCCCAGCCCCAAACTGCCCCCCCCCAACACTCAGCTGGTGCCCCTCACTGCCGACCCACAGCCCCTGCAGCCCAGCCCTGGGTCCCCCCAGCTCTGCCGGTGCCCCTCACTCCCACCCCACAGCCCCTGCTAGCCCAGCCCTGCCTATGGTTACAGTTACAGGACGGATGTGTGTGATATACAGGCACTTCAGGGCTCACGTGTCCCTGGCAAATGGCCTCCCCCTGCAGACACAGCTCTCGATGCAGGGAAAACAACCTCGACCCGGCAGCCAGGAGGGGAATCCCCAGAAGAGACACTGACACAGAACGGCTTTTCCCACACACACCCGCCTTCCTGGGCTCACATTCCAGCACCAGGCTGATGCAGAGGGAGGGCACACAGCCCGGCAGCTGGACTTCCCCTGCCACTCACCCACCTGAGTGCAGCATGATCCCGCTGTCCGAGTCGCTGCCGTCCTCTTTACTCTCCATGGGCGGTGGTGGCCCCAGGGGCAGGAACTGTGAGGCGCAGAGACCCACGCTGGGGCTCCTGGGAGTGGGTCACCCTGAGTAGGAACTGGTTAAATAAAAGACAAAGACTCAGAAGTGCTTCACACACACACATACACACAGTGTTGTGTAAGGCCATCGCATAGAGACACACAGTTGTGTAAGACTGTCACACAGACACACACACAGAGTTGTGTAAGGCCATCGCACAGACACACACACACACAGAGTTGTGTAAGGCCATCACACAGACACACACACAGAGTTGAGTAAGGCCATTGCACAGACACACTGAGGCATTAGTTCAGCTGGAACGTTCCTTCTCGTGCCTTGTCGCCAAGCTCCCCTCTCTGAGCTGTCCTGCGAGGGGAGCTGGCCCATGGGGCAGTTTGGCCCTGGGGCGAGGCTCAGGGATTGCCTCAGGCCCAGCTCTCTTTCAAACCCTGCTGGCTCACTTAAAACGTTAGCTGCACAGGCAGCTTTGGCCCAAGCTCTCCGATGCTGCACCAGGATGTATGGGGGAGCTGAGGCCAGGAGCTGCTGAGGCCCCCAGAGGGCATCTCAGATGGCATCCCTGGGGACTGGCAGATCATCCCCTTTCCGGCCTCCCCTTCCCTCTGTCCCTGGCACAGGAAAGCCCCGCGGGCAGCCGGAGTGCGCTGTTCCTCTGGAGGTGTAGGGGGGCACAGGCGCGGGGTGCCCCAGTCACACGGAACGATCCCGCTCCATGAGCCAGGGCATGGCCCCCAGCCTGCGAGAGTGGAGCCCTGGGGGCCACCTGTCCCACTCACTGCTGCTCACCCTGCAGCTCTCCTGCTGGGGGCAGAGCCGGGGTTTGTATCCGTCTCCCCACCTCCACCAGCTGAGTCAGCCTGTTACACAACAACCTGAAAGTCGCCCAGAGTTCCTGTCTGGAGCTTATCCTGGGACTGGCAGCTCCCAGGGGAGGGGCAGAGGGAGCCCACACAGAAAGGGAGCGAATCCCCCCGCCCTGCGTACCTGTGTCGCTGTGGATCCCCAGGGCACGCTGCTGGGGTAGACACTCCGCACCAGTGCAAAACGCAGCCTGCGCTGGGGTGACTAAAGCAAGCTGGTGTAAGCATTAGGGGTTGGCAGACATCTAACTACACCCCAGGTCCCTGTGTAGATGGAGCGAAAGCGCAGCCACTCTGGGTGGCAGCACTCCGGAGAGCGGGTCCATGGGGCAGGCGGCTGTAACACATTCGCTCCATTGGCTGGTGCCCCGTCCCAGAGGAGGAAGGGCAGCAACCAGCCAGATCCCAGCCCCGTCTGCCAGCCAAGCGCTGTACGCAGAGCACCATGTTTCGGTTCACAGAGGCCCAGCCCCCCCCGCAGTTTCAGATAACGCTGGAATCCCAGCCACCGAGTTTCACTCGCAGTTTCAGGTTTCTGAGAGCCGAGCTGCTCACCGTTCGCCTCACTGTGAGTGGAAACCACAAGCCACCAGACTGGCGCTGGCTCCACGGGCGCCTGCAGACCTGCCCTGATTGATTTAGCCAGTTCTTGTGAACGGAGCGCGGGCAGCTTGAAATCAAGTCAGTTTCCCAAGGGGAGTTACAGGCTGAGCCGCGCACCCAGCCAGCGCAGGCACCCAGCCCTGGCAGCAGATGCCCTCGGTGCTAACCTGCTCTAGCCGACAAGTTCTCAGATGCAGCCTCTGAATTTCAGGAGCCTAAATGCCCCCAGCCAGAGCCTGAGGCCAAAGGTGCTGAACACCCACAGGTCACCCCAGCTGCCTCCCACCCCAAAAATCAGACCCACTGAGACTTCCAAAGTGGAGGCCCCTCAAATCAGTGGCCACTTAGAAAGTTGGGCCCCAAACTGTTTGCCGAATCCCCAGGAGCCCCCTGTGAACCACCCTGCACCCTCACGTGCTGTGCTCTGCCTCTGGGGCTATGCCAAGAACTCGGGTCCAGGCACAACCCCTGGCACAGGCTCAGCAGCGGCCACACGGTGGTGAGGAAACAGGTGAGGCTCTGCAGCCGCTGGCACCAACTCCCCAGAGTGACCTGGCAGAACAGCTGTATGCTGCGAGCCACTCGCTCCCTAGTCACACAATGGGGAAATTCAGGCCCTGTGCCATCCCCGGGCGCCCTGCGACTGGGCCGAGGAGCATGCCTGGGAGCACAGCGCTGGCTCCGGGCTTGCAGGGTCCCTGCAGCTCTGTTCTGGCGCCCTCCTCTGGTACAGGCAGAGCTAGCGCTGAGCGTGGGGCGCTGCTGAGCAACAACTGAGGTACGTCTACACTGCAGTGAACACCCACAGCCGGCCCGGCTCTGCTGACGCAGGCTCGCAGGGCTTGGGCTTGAGACCAGGCCCTGGGGCCCCGGGAGTGGGGAGGGTCCCTGAGCCCAAACATCTACACTTCAATTCTACGGCCCCAAGGCAGCATAGCTGGGGCAGCCACGGGTTCATCACAGTGTAGACGTAACCTGAGAGTTTAGCTCAAATCCCCGTCTGTCTCTGTCCTGTCTCCTGCATCCACTCACTGCTGGACAATGACCCCGCTCTATCCCCCCCATCTCCGTTGGGATGTCTTACCCACCCCCGCCCCTGGCTGGCTCCCCAATTCCACCCCTCCCCCTGCTCCCGGCCAGCTCTTCCTTTCTCCTCTCCCTCTTGCTGCCGCTCCTGGCTGCCCCCCTGAGCTCACTTAGTCGCACCCCCAGGCTCCTGCCTCAGTAGCAGGGGAAGGGCCACACCCGCTCCCTGTGACAAAGGATTCGCCCTCTGGCCCTGGCAGGTTCAGCCAAGGGAATGGCCAGTTTCTCTGGGCACCAAGCCCAGGTTTTGTTTAACTCTAACATCTGTCAGCTGGAAAACGGGCACGGTACAAAGCTGCCCAGTCTGAGGCTGGCACTGGAGCTGCAGATGTCAGTTTCGCTTTGGGGGGGCCTAGCGCCCTCACTTTAATGGGCTCCTGGGAGGGACCCATCCCCCTCATTTCTGCCCCCCCCCCCCATGACAGAACAAGGAGTATTGGTCTCAAGTTGCAGTGGGGGAGGTCTAGGTTGGATATTAGGAAACACTATTTCACTAGGAGGGTGATGAAGCACTGGAATGGGTTACCTAGGGAGGTGGTGGAATCTCCTTCCTTAGAGGTTTTTAAGGTCAGGCTTGACAAAGCCCTGGCTGGGATGATTTAGTTGGTGTTGGTCCTTCTTTGAGCAGAGGGTTGGACTAGATGACCTCCTGAGGTCCCTTCCAACCCTGATATTCTATGATTCTATGTCCTCATCCCCTGAGTTCGGCCTGGCTAGTTGGGAATTCAGGCACAACAATCCAGATTGCACTTGGTTTTGCATCCAAACCTCAGCAGCCCCACAAATCCGCTTCTGCTCCCTAACGACCAGGTCCCAGGTTCAGGGCGGGGGGGGCGGGGGGGGGGGGGGGGGGGGCGGGGGGGGGCGGGCGTGTGAGCCGCACAGCACCCTGGGCGGGAACTGAGCATAAGAACATTCAAACAGCCAGCCTGGGTCAGACCAAAGGTCCAGCTAGCTCAGTCTCCTGTCTTCCGACAGTGGCCAGTGCCAGGTGCTTCAGAGGGAGTGAACCATCCTATCATCCACACCCAGCATCTGGCAGTCAGGTTCAGGGACACCCAGAGTATGGGGTTGGGTCCCTGACCATCCTGGCTAATGGCCACTGATGGACCTATTATCCAGAAACTTATCTAGTTCTCTTTTTTAATCCTGTTATAGCCTTGGCCTTCACAACATCCCCTGGCAAGGAGTTCCACAGGTTGACTGTGCGTTGTGTGAAGAAATACTTCCTTTAGTTTGTTTTAAACCTGCTGCCTATTAATTTCCCCGGATGACCCCTGGTTCTAGTCTTATGTGAAGGGGTAAATAACACTTCCCTGGTCATTTTCTCCCCATAAGTCATGATTTTATAGACCTCTATCATATCCCCCCTTAGTCGTCTCTTTTCCAAGCAGAACAGTCCCAATCTTTTTAATCTCGCCCCATACGGAAGCCGTTCCAGACCCCTAACCACTTGTGTTGCCCATCTTTGCACCTTTTCCAATTCCAATACATCTTTTCTGAGATGGGGTGACCACATCTGCATGCAGTATTCCAGGTGTGGGCATCACATGGATTTATATAGAGGCAGTATGATATTTTCTGTCTTATTATCTATCCCTTTCTTAATGGGAAAAACAAGAAACTGGGAAAACTTCCTGAGGTGTCAGCCACGATTAATTCACGAACAAGAACAGAGCAGAGCCCACGGGATCACTCTGCTGGTTGCATGCCCCTGTCCTGTCCAGGCCAAAGCCTGCCTTGCTCCTACCACAGCCATAACAAATCATAATATTTTCCCTGTTTCCCTCTCATCCACCTCTTCCTAGCCCCTCCCCTTGTCCTCTGGAAAGTTCATCAGAAATCCATATTCCGGCCCTTTGGAACCTGGGCTCTTTGCCTCTGTGATTCGTGCGCTGCATGTCACTCCATCTGGCACCTGCCTGCCAATGCCAACTGCCATCTCTCCTTCCGCTGCCCATGCGAGGATCCCTTTTGAGGATCAGGCTGAGGAGCTCCTGCTGCTAAGGGAAGACCTGCCATGAGCCTGAGGACACAGTCTGAGTCTCTGGCTCGCTCTCTTTTCACATTGATTCGGCAGCCGTCCTGAGCCAGTGTCTGCAATTCTTTCAGCCTTCTCCAAGCCAGTGCCAGCCTCCCTGCTCTTCCCACGCACAAAGGGCCAGCCCCTTACAGGCTGTGTTTGCCCGCCTGACGCTCAAGCTGAACAGCGTGGCCCTGATTCTCTGAAGCGTTCAGCGTGCTGGGTGCTGAGCTCCCAGAAAAACTGGACCTGCATATCTCCAAACCGAGAGCCCATGAGGCTCTGTTGTTGGCACACAGCCATGAATGCCTGGCGTCCACACAGCCCTGTGCTCTCTTTGGAAGGGATGCAGGTTGGTTTGCCAGGGAAGCTGCAAGCAGCTTGTGAGTTCCCTCATCCCTGCGGATAGGCAGCAGGGCCAGGGCATGACACCTCCACTCCTGCCCAGGCACAGCCTAAGTCCC